CGTGAGAGTTTATAGAGTCAGGTATTGATTTTAAAAAGAGAAGACAGGCACTGCTGTCAGAGTGCACCTGTACTGTCGCACCTTCATTTAGCCCTGTCTGTGAATGCCAGACAGGGAATGGGACTCAAGTTCTCTGCTTTCTGCTTCCCTAGCACTGGCGTTCACTATAAATGAATCCTTCTGGGTGAGTTGTGCTTATTTTCAGGGAGCAGAATTTGCTGCTCATTAGGACCGTGAGGCTCTTAGAGTCCAAGGTGATTGGAATATTTCCCTCACAGAATTTTTCAATATTTGGCACAGTGGGACAGAAAGAATGACCATTGTTAACCAGATGAGTCCCTTCTATTCTGTGGAACAAAGGTCAGAGGATTGGACCTAGGGAAGCCTGGAATCCCATTCCTGCACTACCTCTGAACAGCGCATCACCAAATGAGCTTCAATTTCTTCATCTGTAAAACAGGGGAACATTGGTTTGCTAGGGCTGCCAAAACCAAGTACCAGAGGCTGGTATTTGGCTTAAAAATCAGAATTATTTAACCAAGTGTCATGGTTCTGGAGGCTACAAGTCCAAGATCAAGGTGTCAGCAGAGTTCATTTCCTTGGAGGCCTCTCTCCTTGGCGTGTAGAGGTGTGTCTTCCCGTGGTCTTCCCTCTCTACTTGTCTGATCCCCAATCTCTTCATATGAATCAATGGTCCTATTGTTCCCCTTTAAAGTTTCTATCTCCAAATATAGTCACATTCGGAGGCACTAGGGGTTAGGACTCATTAATTGGGAGGTGTACAGTTCAGCCATCAGGGGGGTGAGATGATGAGGGCCTTAATCAATGGTTTTCTATTAATTCTCTCAGGAGGTGAATGCTCTCAGAAGACTCTAGAGTCCGGGGTGACAAATTGTACTGTTTGCTCTGTTTTGAGAGGTTTCCCAGGCTGTGGGACTTTACATACTAAAAACAGAGGCAGGGCTGGGGTTGTGGCTCAGTTGGTAGAGCGCTTGCCTAGCATGTGTGAGGCACTGGGTTCGATTCTCGGCACCACATATAAGTAAATAAATAAAGGTCAACCAACAACTAGAAAATAATAATAATAATTAAAAAAAAAAAAAGAAAAAGAAAAACAGAGGCAGCCCCAGTCCCTCAGGACAGTTGGTCACCCTGTCAATTCCCATGAAGGGCACAGGGCAGCCCACCTCAGTCAGAGCTGTGCCCCATCTCTCCCCCTCTGCATCAGCATCATAAGTGAGACGAATTTCACACAAGTGTTTTGTAGCCAAAAATCATTAGAAAATCACCTGTGTTGATGGCCCTAGTGCTTGTCTCTTGTTGCCACATTCTGATTCAAGGTCATTTGCCCACACCAAATTCCAGTCATTTGTCTGAAAACTAATAACGGATGGGAGCAAAAATTTATTTTGTTCTCATTTAGTTTGTGGTTGAAAATGAAATAAAACTGACTTGGGAAATGTCTGCCAAGCCTTGCAGGTTCTGAGGCAGACCATGGTACTCTGCCATTGTGGTGACAGTGGACACTTACTCAGCCTTCCAGATGCTCACTGCCTTCTGTTCTCATCTCCTAACTGGAACAGCAGCTCGGTGAGGTAGTTAGCCTCATACACCACAATGGCCACTGCCCCATGAGGCAGGTGAAGAAGCTGAGGTGCAAAGACGAGTCACTAGTTCATGTCTCACAGCTAGTCAGGGTCAGGATTGTGCCAGCTGTTGGGTTTGAGCATTCCTGTGTCCTAGTACTGAGCCCAGACACAGGTGTCTGTGCTTACGAGGAACAGACACTTCAGTGGTTAGTGTAAGGAATGACATCTCTGCTGTTGGAATCTTATCTGGGCACCCTCCCCAGCCTGCCAGGCCACCCTTAACTGTTCCTTTTGTAGAAACCCACCCTAGAGCAATGTTTTCAGGTATCAGGGGTATGAAGACCTTTTAGTAAAGAACACTGAATCACATAATAACAGAGTTATTTCCTTGCTAATTAATTCTCCTTCAGCTTTTCTGATGACATCAAGGGAAGTTTGTGCCAACCTTTAATTTCTCTCCATCCTTCAATGATCTCCCTTTTTAATGATCAGCCTTCAGCAGAAGCCCAGGGGCAGTGGCATTAAACATCTATTGTTTTTATTGGAATCATCTTTTTGCAGTTAACTTGGATATGTGGCACATGATATTCGTTTTACATTTAGGGTAATGCTATAAAGTGCCTTTAGAGACATTCAAGGGAAAAAGCAAGTAATTTAAAAGTGTTTAGTAACTACAAGCACAGATGATGGACAGATATTGCAAAAATTGTGAACATCTGGTGAGAAAGATTGATTTTGTGAAGCACTGGAAGGGAGGAGAGGTTGCAGTTTCTGAGAGTCTTGAAACCAGCACATGAAAGGCTTGTTTGAACAGTGGACCTTTCAGGGTCAGTGCCTCAGCCCAGGGAGGCTTAGTCAGGGCCCTTGCGGTATTGCTTGTGGGCACCTTGGAGAGGAGTGTGCCCCTTTTTTTTCCTATTTTTAATTTATTTTTATTTTTTTAAGTTGTAGATGGACACAATATCTTTATTTTATTTGTTTGTTTTTTATGTGGTGCTGAGAATCAAACCCAGGGCCTTGCACAAGCTAAGTGATTGCTCTACCTCCGAGCTACAACCCCAGCCCCTAGTGTGCCTTTTTAAAAAATGTTTTTTATTATTTTTGAAAAGCCCCCATTAGACAAGGTGGGGAAAAGAAAAACAAACAAACAAACAAACAAACAAACAAACAAAAACTCTGGTACCAGATGGAAGATCTCAGTTTTGAGAGAATGCAGTCTAGAAAATCAAAATTGGAAATCCATATGCAACAAAATGAAGTTAAGCCCCTGTCTTTCACCATGCACAAAACTGAACCTAAAATGGATCAAGGACTTAGGAATACAACCAGAGACTCTGCATCTAATAGAAGAAAAAATAGGCCCTAATCTTCATCATGTAGGATTAAGCCCCAACTTCCTTAATAAGACTCCTGTGGCGCAAGAATTAAAACCAAGAATCAATAAATGGGATGGAATCAAACTAAAAAGTTTCTTCTCAGCAAAAGAAACAATCTGTGAGATGAATAGAGAGCCTACATCTTGGGAGCAAATCTTTACCCCTCACACATCAGATAGAGCACCAATCACTAGGCTATATAAAGAACTCAAAAAGCTAAACACCAAAAAATCAAATAACCCAATCAATAAATGGGCCAAGGACCTGAAGAGACACTTCAGAAGATGATGTAAAATCAATCAACAAACACATGAAAAAATGTTCATCATCACTAGCAATTAGGAAAATGCAAATCAAAACCACTCTAAGATTTAATCTCACTCCAGTCAGAATGGCAGCTATTATCCATACAAACAACAATAAGTGTTGGCGAAGATGTGGAGGAAAAAAGCACACTCTTTCATTGCTGGTGGGACTGCAAATTGGTGCAGCCAATATGGAAAGCACTATGGAGATTTCTTGGAAAATTGGGAATGGAACCACCATTTAACCCAGCTATCCCTCTCCTCAGTCTATACTCAAAGGACTTTAAAAAAGCATACTGCAGTGATGCAGCCACATCAATGTTTATAGCAGCACAATTCACAATAGTTAAACTATGGAACCAACCTTGATGCCCTTCTATAGATGAATAGATTTTAAAAAATGTGGCATATGTACACAATGGAATATTACTCAGCAATAAAAGGAATAAAATCATGGCATTTGCAGGTAAATGGATGGAGTTAGAAAAGATAATGCTAAGTGAAGTTAGCCAATCCCAAAAAAACCAAATGCTGAGTGTTTTCTTTGATATAAGGAAGCTGATTCATAGTGGAATACGGAGAGGGAGCATGGGAGGAATAGACAAACTCTAGATAGGGCAGAGGGGTGGGAGGGAAAGGGAGGGGGCATGGGGTAATTAATGATAGTAGAATGTGATGATCATTATTATCCAAAGTACATATGTGAAGACATGAATTGGTGTGAATATACTATGTATACAATCAGAGATATGAAAAATTGAGCTCTATATATGTAATAAGAATTGTAATGCATTTGGCTGTCATATATAAATGAAAAATAAATTTAAAAAGAGTTTGAAAGCAAAAAAAAAAAAAGAAAAGAAAATCATTAGAAATGCAAACTGGGATCTCAGTAGGAGGCACCAAGCCAAAGAGTGGGGGTTGGTTGCCATGGCTCTTGCTATTGGAGCCTGGGAATCCTGCCCATGGGATCTAAAGGCAGATCAGACTTAAGACCCTCACCCAGCCTTAGAACAAGAAAACTTGAAGGGTTTTTTCCACAGACTATGTCTTGGGTGACTTTGCCTGTTGAGCTTGCTGTTGGTACTTAACTCTATGGAGCTATGTCCTTGGTAAACAGGGCACTGTCAACTAAGGCAGAGTGAATTGACATACCCTGTGAACCCCTCCCTGTGATTCATACATGAGGCTCTTGCTATATGAATGGGATCTGAGATTGGCTCATGTTTCATAGGCCCAAAGACCTACCAGCAATGGGTGTTATGTGTGGATGTGTCTGGTACATCCAATAATTTTCTTTGACTTTGCACACAGAGGTTAGGCATTGGTTTCCAGTAGCCACCAGGGAACCCTGGTCAAGCTTACTGTATCCTTGGGACAAAGGTTTTTAGACTTGCAGTTTTTAACCTACTTTCCCGGGCAGCAGCCATCACTCTCTGCCTAGCCAGACGACTGCCCAGTCATGATCAGCACCTCCTCATTGGAACTTTTACTCTCTTCTGTAGCATGTAGATCATCTCCACTTTGAGAGCTGTATTTTTAGGGTGTGTCAGAGCATTCTTAAGAATGCTTCTTATTGGGCTTTCAGTCTACTTAAAATAGGAAAGGGAAATAGAAAAGAAAAAGTAACAAAAAATCACTGGTTAAGAAACAAATATTTGTGTTTTCAAAGCCCACTGGCTCTGATCCTGTAATCAATTGTCGGACATAACAAACTTTCTCTCCACCAGGAAACATCTATATGGATTATTTCATTACAACTCCATGATGCTTGGTCTTGAATCACTTCCGGATCCCACAGACACCTGGGAAATTATAGAGACCATTGGTAAAGGCACATATGGCAAGGTCTACAAGGTCACTAATAAGAGAGATGGGAGCCTGGCTGCAGTGAAAATTCTGGACCCCATCAGTGTAAGTCACTGTACTAAGCTATAACCACATACTGCATACCGAGAAGCTGGGCCTTCGAAGAATTGTCCTGAACTGTTATCTCTGTGTTGGCCAGTCATTGGCTGCACCCTGCCCCTGGGAGGGAGCATGGCTTTGGGGGAGGCAGTTAACTATAGTTGGGGAGAATTTCTAGTGTTTTTTTCTAGTGGGGAGAATTTCTCGTGTTTCAGGGCACATTTTCAACTGATTTTAGGGATAGTTTTCATGAAAGCTGACAGAAATCTCAAAATAGGTCATGGTTTGTCAGCTCTTCTGAAGGAAGGGACTCTTCTTGGAGTTAAAACTTTACTTGGCTTTTGTTTCTTTCTATTTGACCGTTGGTTTGGTTTTGGCCCTCTGGGCTCTTCAAAAATTACTCTCTTGGAAAGAGTGATGTATTTCACTCCTAGTTTCCCTGTAGGTCACAAAGTGACCTGGACTTGTGATATTTGATCATCCTAGGTTGACATCTTATTTCAGAGCACTGGAGTTAGAATGCTCCATGCCTTTTTGCACATTGAACTTGTGTGTGACATATCCTGTGTTAGGTCCCTTCAAGATACTTCTGCTTAACTGCTTTAAAAATTTAGACTTTTTTCAATAAAAAAGGATATTTATAATAGTATCATTAAGAAAAAGAGAATGTCATAAAGAAATATTAATGAATTAATAACTGCAAGATTTAAATCAGGATCTGAATCTCTGTTGTTAGGTTTTTTGAAGATAAGGTAATGGTGACATTAAAAGTATACGTGTTTTATTAATCGATTCAGCATGATACCGTATGTGGGCCTTTCTCTGCACTTTGGTCTTTATCCAGTGTGTGTGTTTTTCTTACTTCGTTTAGGATATGGATGAAGAAATTGAGGCAGAATACAACATTCTGCGGTTTCTTCCGAATCACCCCAATGTTGTAAAGTTTTATGGGATGTATTACAAGGCGGATCACTGTGTGGGAGGACAGCTGTGGCTGGTCCTGGAGGTAAGAAGCTCCTGTTGGGTAACCATTGATTCATACAGAATGCCAGGGGCAAGCAGATACTTCAGTAGTGTTTTAAGGTACATGTTGGAGGAGCAGGTCTCTCCTGTGTGACACAGATACCTTACCTGATGTGGAATTCTCTCCAGTTCTCACAGGTAGGCTGCATACTGAGAAAATTTTTATTCTTGTTTCTCTCCTCAAAAGTTTAATCATCTTTTCATCTGCTAGAGAGCAAATACAGGAATCCAATTGGAAAAGATTATTTTGTTCCCTAGACTACAAACAATTCTTAGAATATTGTCCAATTAATTGCAACTCATTTTTAAAACTTATAAACCCAAGAGGTTCTTGGCTTACCATGTTTGGACTGGCTCATCTGCGTTCATTAGTCCTCATCATAGATTGGATTTCCTGCAAACTGACTCTGAGAGTTGCATATAGAAGGCTTATTGGAGAATTCTGGAAGAGGGATAGGTTTGGAAGAAAGCGTGGAAGGCAGATGTGGCAAGACAGACATTGAACTGAGATGTGGTTGTAACCAAGGCCTCAGCAGATTCTCTGAGGAACTAGAGAGCTGGGCCTTCAAAGAGTTGTCCTGAACTGTTATCTCTATGATGGCCAGTCATTGGCTGCACCCTGCCCCTGGGAGGGAGCATGGCCTTGGGGGAGGCAGTTAACTATAGTTGGGGAGAATTTCTAGGAGGGGTGCATCTGGGAGCTGAGAGCAGGGAGAAGGAGATACTCCTAGCAGCATCTGCTGTCAAGAGGGAATTTGAAGGGACAGCACTGTATCCACTAGAGCCCTCCATTTTCTCTCCTTTGTAGGCAGGAATGAATGTGTGTATCTGGATGCAAAAGGGTCAATTCCCCAAACTCCAATTCTCCATGGGACTAAAATAACAAGGACAATGGGATGGGCCTCTCACCTCATTTTCACCAGGCCTACCCTGATTTGTTCTGGACTTCGGCCCTCTGACAGCAGATGTTGCAGTCATAGCACCTCAGGTGTGGCCAAGGTAGCTAGGAAGGACCTTGGCAGATGAGAAGGCACCATGAGAGAGTGCCCTGTGCTCATGCCCCCCCCCGCCCCCCGCCAGCTTCCTCTTGTTTTTTTCAGGGTGACCACAGGCAGATAATGAGGCTGTCCTGAGACGCTGAATTAGTTATACCTTAGCAATCCAGTATGCTGACATTTATGACTTTTGCTGGTTGTTTTGGCTCATCCCAGAGCTGATTGATGGAATGCTGAATGGGCTCAGTATTTTCTGTCCCATGATGGGCCCACTAAATCAGGTTGCTGGATGTTTGGGTGTACTCAGAACCACTGAGTCTTATACAAACACAAGATTTCTGGACTTCCAACAGATTTTCTTCAGTTCAGTCCTTTGGTGTTCAGTTCAGGGACAGAGGCCCAGGGAGCAGAGCAACATGCCTTCAGTCACATAACCAGTTGGATGCCAGAACTGGAGGGAAAGCCTCTGTGTTAGTCATTTTTTTGTTACTATAACAAAAGACCTCAGATACAGAAGCTTAAAAGAGGATAGGTTTATTTGGTCCACAGTTGTAGAGGTTTTAGTCTATGGCTGATCAGCCGGTTGCTTTTGGGCCTGTGAAGAGGCAGTACCTCATGGTGGGAGCACATGGTGGAGGAGGCTGCTCACCTATGGTTGCTAGGAAGAAAAAGAGAAAGAGGAAGGGCCATGGCCTCCAATATCCCTTTGAGGGCATGCCTCCAACTAGGTCCTAGCTCCTACGGGTCCCACCAGCTCCAATAACACCATGGGCTGGTGACCAAGCTGTCAACATGTGGTTCTTTGGGGAAGGCTTCTCAGAACCATAGCACCACGCTCCAGCCTGCTCTGTCATCATATCCTGTGCTGCGTGTGATGTTGGGGGGTATGGAAACACAGAATTGGGGTCTTCAGTTGGGATTGTGACATTTCCTGACCACACACACAGAGCTGTGTGACAGTGACAGGCCACAGAGAGCACCCTTGCTTGCTGTGTTGCTCCATTGCAGCTTTTTAAGGTGTGCTTTAGAAAATGCACACAACAGAATCACCGTCTGTTCAATATTGTTCTCCTCATCCTGTGCATTGAGATTAAATTTATGTTGCCTTTGCTCTTTCCTTGCTGAATGTGGTGAAAGGACGGGTGAGGAGCTATTCTACACGGCAATTTTAGAGGATAGGAAAATGTTATTAATAACTCCCTTAAATCACCCCTACTCTGAAAACAAAAGCAAATAAAAATGTCATTTCTGAAATTCATTCCTAATTTGTTAGTAGAAAGCAAACAAAAGCTCCCTTTCATGATAGACACCATATATTAGAAAGGTATGGAGAGAAAACATACATAATGTTGTGGAAAATTTGTGAGTGTTTTATGTTAAGTGAATATTAAATTCTTAAACGTCTGTAAGTCCTATTGTCTTTCACCTTAATAAAATGTAATAAGGAATTAAACCTTTGAGCAAAACACAATACTCAGAAAGAAAATCTAATATGTGCAAAGCCATGAACTATATTTTCTCTTTCTCCTTTTAGAGTAATGCCTTGACAGGTAGAAGCTATTCATTTTAGCATGAATCAAATGTTCAACTTTAGTGAACAAAATAGCACTGAAAATTGAGAATGCTATAAATAAGGCTGGAAAGAAAGAAAAGGAAAACTTTGTTTTTAAGCCAGGTTAAAAAAATTAGTTCATAAAAATCTGACCCCCTTTCCTGAAATCTAAGGATAACTTCAGTATCTAGGTACGTAGAGTCAAAGTGGGGGTGTGTGTCTGTTCAGTGTTTGCTTTTACATGTGGCCCTAGGAGGTCCAGTCTAGGTCTGAATATCATTGGAAGTGTTAGAAATCAAACCATTGTCACCCACTGATACTGACCTGGAAAGTCCAGAAGGTTAACAAATCAGAATTTTAGCAGGACTCTAATGGAGGGAACAGGATTGGTAGGTTCTGATGGGCCACAGACAGGAAGCACTGAAGTATTGAACCCCGACTTAGACAGTAGCTTCTGGCAAGTTTGGAATGAGAGTCACTGGAGATGGGGAGTCAAGATGATGGACAGAACACTTGGATGGAAGAAATGCGACAGAGTAGCATCCTGCATGCATTTGCTCTATGTGCTCATAAAAGATGGCTAAGAAGCTGAGGTGTGGCAGTGATCCTGCTCACCCTACGTGTGCCTATGGAGGCTGAGATGGGAGGTGGGAGCTTCAGAGCCAACCTACCTCTTGTGGTATGAGCATCTCCCTCTGATGCAACTCTAGGTTGTCAAGTGACATGGTTTTCATTTGTCTGCTTGCAAGCCAGTGGCTACCTGGTACTCATGATCTATCCCCTCACAGGGGGAAAATGTGCTGCTCTGGACTGAGATAGGGATTGTGTTCAACATGACACTTCCTGAGTCATCTTCTAGGGTAGTTTTGACTCTGACGTTTGCTTTATGTTCTCTGTAGAACCTAATAGTCCTGAAAGACGTTGATCTTGACTGCCTAGTGAACAAAATAGCACTGAAAAGAAATTCTTTTTTTTTTTTTTTTTTTCTGCCATCTGACTGAGCCACATCAAATGGGTAGGCACAGAAGCTGCTTGACAGTTGGAGCCTGGGCTGGGACACAAGTCTGGAGATTGTGTGCACGGGCCATTCTTTAATGATGTGAAAGAGAGTTGACGGCTTATTGAGCAAGGAATATTTTATTGCTTGAAATTATGACTGTCCTAACAAATGCACATACTGTGATTGAATCAATATTCAACGTGTTTTGGAAAATAGATGTGGAATGTAAATGATTTTTCTATTTTTCTTGGTTTGGAGTAAACTGCTCATTAAATTCTAAATGCATCCAGCTGCCACATTTCTGAATGCTGAGGGCGTAGGGAGGAACTGCAGGGATGGAGACACACCTCTGTACTTGAATCTGATGGCTGGCAAAGTGGGTGGGAATGAAGGGCTTATGTGCCAACCCTCTGGGCTGGGGCAGGAGGCTTGGTTGCTTTCTTCCAACTCTAAGGGGATTTTTTTTAAATTTGGTGAATTTAAATATAATTCTTGTCATGTCCATTTCACTGAACACCTACTCTGGATAGATAATTATGAGTATGTACCTGCATACCTGCATTCTTTTTTTTTTTTTTTAATATCCAATTGACTAAAGTGTTTTTTCTATAACCCGCAGGCTGCACTTTACAAACCTTGCTGGTGGGCTTGTCAACTTCACAGGACAGCTTCCTTTAAAGGTGCCCTGAGCAGTTTAATTATACATTTCTGTGGATTCTGGGAAGTCAGATAGCTCTTAAACTCTGACATTTAGTGAACAAAAGGCGCTTCCTGAGTAAGATCCCTTTGTTGTTTTGAAATCCACAGCTGAGTTTTGATCCTGCTGACAAATAACTGCTCTTAATCCCTTAATGGGTTCTGAGGCTCTGAGGAAAGTTTGTAAATTGGCTACCACCTAAAATATGGTTCAAAAGGCCCTAAGTAGCAAATTCAGCCACACGTAGGGTAGGGAAGGAGAAAGGAGGAACAAGGGAAGATTATAGGCCTGTATTTAGCTTGGGTCTTTACCTAGCTTTGAATTTAAGTTTTCTCTTGGTAAAATTTCAATACTGCATTTGTAATTCAAGGAAGTGTGTGCCTCCCCTAGATGGGAGTCAGGCTGGGGAGTGCCCTGACAAGTGCACTGTCCTGTCTTGCATTCCTGTTACTCCTTTGCTCTGGAGGAGGAAAGGGTGTTGAGATTTCTCTCAGTCTCCCAGCATCTGCAGACTCTTGTCTCTTCTTCACCTTCCACATCCAGTGGATCAGAAGTTTCTGTTCATTCCACCTCATGAGAGCCTCCCAAACCTGCCTTGTCCTTGTTATCCTCCTGACTTGACTTTTTGACCCTTCCTCCCTCGATGGCTTCAGCATCTCCTGATGGATACCCAGGTCTTTCTTCTTCCATCCATGCTTCAATCTACTGCCTGAGTCATCTTTCTAGAATACAAATCTGAACACTGAGACCCTTTGCCTAAAAGCTTAGTTTCCTTATCTAATGATATGTCATACTATTAAAAATAGACCTAGAAAAATAAAGCCCATAGTCCTTAGAAGGGCATATCTGTCATTCATTCCTGTCCCCCACCTTCTTTCCCTCTCTCCCTAACCCAGGATCCTTGCCCCCTTTGTCCCAAGAATAGCAGTGTTTAGAATTCATAAGCACATGCATGCACACGCACACACACACCTCCCACCACCACTTTCCTTTTTCCTTTATTTGTACGGGATGTTTACAGACTTCTTTTCCTAGGGTACTCTTCTCTTTCTTACCCTCCTGCTCCAAATTCATTTGTCCTTCAGACTTACAAATGTTATGGCCTTCAGAAGAATTTCCCAGGCCAACCCCTTATGGTCACCCCTTATCAGAGTTCAGTTTTCCCTCTTTGGTGCCAACATGCTCCTAGGCACACCTATCATTCCTCAGCCCCATACCCAGTTTCTCATGTGTCCATTTCTAGGTGTTGAACCCTTCGAGACTAGGGATTGTGCTGTATTTGTGATTGAGTAATAGCTTATAAACTGGCCAGTCACAGACTATTGGGAACAAAGAGGTGCACATTGAATATCATTTGTCCTTTCAGAGTCATGGAAGGCAGCTAGAATTGAAAGAATACAGAGTTCCTCAAAAGGTGGTGTTACCCTGTTTTTTTTGCCATTATAACAAAACACTTGAGATAACTAACTTATAAAGAGAAAAGGGTTATTTGGACTCACAGTTTTAGAGGTTCCCGTCCATGATTAGCTAGACCCATTGCCTTTAGGCTTCTGGTGGGGATGCAGGTTAGCAATGGTGAGGAGCAGGTGACAGAGCACACACCTCAAGTCATGGCTAAGGAAGCAAATGAGAAAGAGGAATGGAAAGGATCCTACACCCCCCCCCCATTTCTGTGTGTGTGTGTGTGTGTGTCTTTATCTTCACTGACCTTAGGGCCCTTCCTCCTAAAGGTCCCCAGCACCTCCCAATAGCACCAGCTGGGGACCAAGCCTTTAACATATGGGCTTTTGGGGGACATTCAACTTCTGTATGATTAGAGCAAAGATATGATGCAGGCTGTCAACATTAGGGACATTAGAGGCATCCTGTTAGTCTGACATTGGTAGACAGTAGATTCTAAAGTCACTTCCTATAATCCCAAACTGGACCATCATAGTCTTTAATGCATTTCATTGCTTTTAGGATCCCTCCTAAGTAATTCCCAAGAGATAATAATTTTATGTTTGTTTTAAAGATTCTCTAATTCTATATTAGATTTGTAGTCACAATATGTCACTTAATGAGCAATTTATGATGGATTGTGCCAAACCCAAACCTGCACATTGACTTCTGGGGTTAGCAAAAATTATCCTTGAAAAACTCTTAAATTGCTGAGAAAGTACAATATACCTGCTTTCTGTACTCATACTTCACTGATATAAAACAAAGTCATAAAGTAAAATCTTACAGTGTTTTAAATTATAGGGACAGAGAGATGCTTAAAGTTGCTGGAAAAGCTAAAGTTGAATACGAGAAGGCCAAGTGCACCTATGACATAACTCTACCCCCATAAACCTGACACGCATTGATTGGCACATCTAGAAAGAGCTACTGATCAGGTTTCTGATGTCTGCAGTGCATCACTGAAAATCACTGAAATTTATTTCCTGTTGGTTATCAAGGGCATCTATCTTGCCTCTTCCAGTCCTTTCTTATCCTCAAAATGCACATTTGAACAAAAAAAGAAAAAAGAATAATATGCACATCAGATGAAAAATATCCAGTAAGCCACCATGATTTCTTAATAAGCTTTGCCTGCAAAAATTCTAAATAATAATTTGTGCTTTCATGTTTTACTTGACAATTAAAAAGTCAGCTTTTTTGGGTGAACACTTTGGCTCATAAATCCTTACCTTGAATAAAGAACACAAGTGCACACAGAGCTAGATTTGACTGGCTATTGAAAATTTGAAGTCTAATTACTCCAGGATGGAGTTTGTGATCGGCAATTTTACTATGTTGAGTGAGTAACCAGTGGGATTCCTTCCTAATTGACATTTCTTTCTTTCTTTCTTTTTTTTTTCTACTCCTCCTTTCTGCCTGGCACCTCTCACCACAGCTTTGTAACGGGGGCTCTGTCACTGAGCTGGTCAAAGGCCTTCTCAGGTGCGGCCAGCGACTGGATGAAGCCATGATCTCCTACATCTTGTATGGGGCTCTCTTGGTAAGAATGTTCTTTGAGCTGGGGATGGCAGCTGGTGGGACAAGTGGTCCATCACGTGGGGCCTCATTGTATCTTAATGACAGGGAAAGTGCCATTTAATATGCAAGGGATATTGACAAAAAGAAAGTGGAGTCAAATGTGGACTTTGATTAGACTTTGTAATAGTGGGGTAATTGCTTTAAAATAAGCGTGTAAATCTCCCCTTCCTCTCTCCTGGTGGCCATGCAGGGCCTTCAGCATTTGCACAACAACCAAATCATCCACCGGGATGTGAAGGGGAACAACATTCTTCTGACGGCAGAAGGAGGAGTCAAGCTTGTTGACTTTGGTAATGACTGTGTGTCATTTGTTTTCTTGATGTGTACAGTTTAGCCAAAGGGGACAATTTACTGCAATCTCAGAAGACTGACGCCTCTCTGCTACACCACAGGCTGAAGGACTTTTCCAGTCAAACGCAGGCTGTGGAGTGGGGGGCTGACCAGATGGATCACCCTAGGAGATGCTGTTTGTTAATCGATTTTCAGCTTTACTAGCAATTTTATTAAAGATAGAAAATAAAAGTGTTGCAAAAAAAATAAATAAAAAGAACTTGCTGGGATAGTTTTTGGTTTTCTGCTAAGAATTTCACATCTCAGGGCAATTGTTTATAATTTGCATTTTTGTCATCTCTTCTTTTGCATATGAAAAGAGAAAGCAGTTTGGTTTTTCAAAGGACTTTCACTAGCCTTAGGCATACTTATTCCCTGTGAGCAGAAGGTAGGATAGTCCTTTGGGCCTCAGAGCTAACATCTCTTTAAATTGTGATTATTGCTGCGACACATGAGGATGGTAGGACTGAAAACATTAAGGGGAAATGGAAGGATGGGAGGAAATGCAGACAATGTCACCTGAGGCCAGAGAACTGAAATATCTTTTCACAACATTTAGACGTTGATATTGGCAAACCAACAAACCATTTGGTTTTCCATTTTAGGTTTATGGGCTGGTTTATTCTTATAAATGAGTTCAATACTAGTTAGTTCCTTAGGGTCATTGCTACAAATGATGAAAAAACATTTAGATAATATTTCAAAATGTTATCAATATCATCATAATAAAAACAAGACTAACAATTTTGAGTATTCATCATTTTATTGGTAAGAAAGAATTTGGCATAAAAATATGTCAGTGAATCATTTGCTTTTCCGAAGAAATTACTTAAAAGCAAATGAAGTTCTTCCAGGTGTATTCATCTGTTTACAAAACAAATAAGCAAAGAAAAATAGCAAGGGAATACTTTGTTCTTATGCTCCTCTCTGAATAGGAGGAATCGAGCTTCAACATTGTGCTGTGTGTGTAGCAGAGATATATTTTCCACGTGGTCCAGAGGGCAGTGCATATGTTGGGAGGCAAGTAGCCTGCAAGGAGGCAGTTAAGGATGAATACTGATTTATCCACTCACAGAACTTTGCGATTTGCCCAAGGGTAACTCTTCTCAGTTTCTCCAGTAGAAGGTTTTTAATGTCCAATTGTGGCAAAACAAATTTCTAGAAATTGAAACCAGATAGCCATAGTGGTTACTACCAAAATTGTTGTGGCAGTCTTAGTAAAGTGGGAAATTATCTGTCGCAAATAGAGTTTAAAGAGCCTTCTTGCTGGGAGCACTGGTACATGCCTGGAGGCCCAGCTTCTTAGAGGCTGAGGCCAGAGGAAAAGGTGAGCCCAGGATTTCCAAGACCAACCTGGGCAATAAAGCAAGACCCCATCTTTTGGATATAGCAAGCAGCTATAAAAACAAACACCCACGGGTCCTTGGAAAATCTAGGCCTCCCCCTCAGGGCTGTATCCTTCACTAATGAATACAGTCCACGTTCTGTCAGTGGCATCCCTTGTCGTTCTGTTTAGGGCTGTGTTAGACGTCTGCTGGTATAAAATAATACCTGACCATTGTGAACACGCTGGTCCTCTTATTTGGTCTTAAGAAGAACCTTCTACGTTAGGTGTGGCTGTTTGTTGTCATTATCTGTTTAAGGTTGAGACAACTGAGACTCAAGCTGAGGCAGTCACACCTCAGTAAAGGGCATAATTGGGATAGAAAATGGGTCTCCCAACTCCTAACTCAGTGTAGCTTTAATTTCTACCTTATTTACCATGGTGTAGAGAAGAGAGTTAGAGGACATTGGAATTATATTAAAATTCAGGTCCTCAGCATTGAGCTTCAGATAATAACGTTACTGTCAATTTCTCTTTCCATTTGAAAAACATAACTTTCTTGCCAAGTTACCAGGCTTCTAGGCAAGATAAAGCTCTGAAATCTTTTTATGTCTACACTGATGCTTTATTATAGATAATATATGCCAATCTTCCTCTTCCATAAAATGAAGCACCTTATTAAGAAAGAAATCACCTGAACTGGGAAATATAATAGGAAGATATTTTGGGTTGATCCTAGATATTTATATTTTTCTTTTGATTCCAAATTTGCAATGATATGGTAGGAATATTCATTAGAAAAACGTCTGATGATTCTACCTAATGATAGAATGATAAATGCTCTAAAGGCTTAGCAAACTATAGTTCATGGTCAAATATGACCTACCTCCTATTTTTTGTATGGCCCATGAGCTAAGAATGACTTTTTATATTTTTAACTAATTGGAAAAAAACAAAAGAATATATTGAGATATAAAAATTTCTGAAATTCAGATTTCAGCATCCATAAATAAAATTTTATTGGAGTGAAGCCAAACTCACCCAGCTACGTGTTTTGTGTGGCTCTTTAGCCTTCCAACAGCAGAGCTGAATAGTAGTGATAGAGGTCAGATGGCCCATTGAGCCTAAAATATTTACTATCTGGTCCTTCAAAAAGCAATTGTCAATGCCTAATCTGGAATCATCATCTACTCACTGCCAAATTCTGATACCTGTTTCTTTTAGGTGTCTCAGCTCAACTTACCAGCACACGATTAAGGAGAAACACGTCAGTTGGCACCCCGTTCTGGATGGCCCCTGAGGTAAGCAAGGTGTATCTAGTTCTTTATGTTGTTGAGTGCCTGGATACTGTGGATTTTTATGGGTGAGTTATATGTTCTCCAAATTTTTCAGGAAGAAGGAATTCCTGTATCTTCATAAAGAGTTGTAGTAAGTTCTAGTATTTCTGGTAAGAGTTCTATTTTTGGTGAGTGATGCTGATAAGGCTTGATCTCAGAAGCAAGATTAAGTCACAACTAGATCATAAGGGACCTTCATGCAGTTAGAAGAAGGTGCCCCCTCCAGGAGATGCAGACCTCTCCAGGGTCATGGCTGGGAAAGTCCATCCAATCTTTGTCTAAGAAAAGGTCACCTTCCCTGGATGGGTGCAGCTCATACAAGTGACCCATGGCTTGACAACAAGCCTCATTTCAGTGTCAACTAGTCTACGGAGCTCTAAGTAGTGGCCCTGGTTGTTTTCTGTTGCCACGTACGTAGCAAATCTCTTGCACTTTGTTAGTTCTCTGCACTAAAACATGGGATTTGGTCCTATCTCAGTTCTGGCCTCATCACAAAACTCTCTGGGAAATGACACAGGTGGAAGTTTGGGGAACCTTTGAGCTAGATAAGACACACCTTGAAATGCCAGTGTATTCTGCTTATCAGGTCAGTATTTGATTCTAAAGTCCCCAGGCCTCCTCTGTGGAAGTAAGCAAAGGCTCTCTAAATACGAGGGTGCAGGCAGCCACCTCCCTAGATGTTTTTCCATCTCCTCTGTGCATTTGGACAGCCTTCTGTGTCACTGCCAAGGTGGTCTCCTCACTCAGGGATTGCTTCACACTGATCTCTGCTCAGATTCCTTCAGTGGTTCCCACTTGTCAGTGGCCTGTTTCAGGAGTGAGTAATGGGTCCAAACACCTGAAAAAGAAAACCCTGACATATTACAGTGTTTACTACAATCTCTGTGTTTCTCAGATAGGCTCGCTTCTTGTCACATACCTACAGAACTATAAAACCCAAAGAAAAGAAGTATATTATGAAAAAACTACAAAGCCAGTGACATGACATTAATGAGACAAATGACACTGTTTGTGAATCTCTATTGTCTTTGACCATGTAATCGCCTTTCAGAGAAGGACCACATGGGCTGAGTCTGGCAAACCTACTGTCGCCCACATGTGGTGACCAGCTGTGTTTAGCCAGTATGATCTCTTTGTTCAAACTGCACCTCCTCTGACCTCCAACTGTTGCCAGATTAATAATAAACAATACAGTCACCAGAATTAAATGGCAAAGGATCTGGAGTGTGTTTTAACTCCTCCTCCCATTATCATTGTCAGTAGTAGTAGTAATGTAATGACTACTAAAATAGAAGTGGAGTTTTCATAGGGACTTGTGGATTCCACTTGGAGACACACTGTGGAATGAAGTCCAAGGCTGAGGCAGGAGGACCACAAGTTCAAAGCTAGCCTCAGCAATTTAGTGAGGCACTTAGCAACTCAGCAAGACCCTGTTTCTAAAGAAAAAAAAAAAAAAAAAAAAATATATATATATATATATATAGGCTGGGAATGTGGCTCAGTGGTTAAGTGTTTCTGGGTTCAATCTCTGGTACCAAAATAATAATAACGACAACGAAACTTATTGGGATAGTAAACAAAGTCCTTCCTTCATACTCCAGCTCCTCTCTCCAGCTTCATGCTGAATTACTTTTCCCCAACTTCGTTGTTCTTAATATCCCAGCAGCAGTGAACAACAGATAATTCTCCAAATCCATACTGATAAGTCATTCAATTGAGCCCTGGTGTACTGTTACATCATCACCCAGAATGACCCTCAGAGCTCTGGAAAATTCCTCCTTAATCTCCAAGTCTCAACTCAAGTGCCAATTTTCCTAGGAAATCTCCCCTAATCCCTGGATAGGAGCCAACACTAAAGCCTTCCGCCCTCCATTAGCACACTGTTACCATGGCACATAGCAGCAGGTGGGTGGACTGTCCATCTGGACTTTAAGCTCTGGCAGAGATTTGGGATGCCCAGTTCTCCACACAGAGTAGGTGCTCATGTGAGGAGGGTTCCTCAGCTAGAGCATTAGTAAATTTCTCTGTAGATTTTGGTTGATTTGGTTCTGAAAGGAAAGTTTAGCCAAGGTCACTCAGCTCATATTCATATGGCATAATATGACAGACAGTTCTTATCCATAGCAGACTGGTTCTCAGGAACACAAGATATAATCAAGAAAGGCCTGAGTCTAGCTTCATACATTTATGAGGAGGTATCTGTGACTTTCTAGCTTCAGCTGGGTTGAACAACATGTGGAGTGCTTCTATGAGGGGAAGTTTGGTGGTCCTCTCTGAGCTCCTGTTGCCCAGACTGCATGGAAGCAGTTCCCTTCTTGGCAGGGGAGAGCCAGCCACATCCTGCCTGCTGCAGTGAAGAGGCTCCATAATCCTCTGTTAGTCAGCATACTGTGATACAATACCTGAGAAAAACAGCTTAAAGGAGGAAAGATTTACTTTGGCTCACAGTTTCAGAGGTTTTAGTCCATGGCGTGCTGCCTCTGACGTTTTTTGGGCTATGGGAGGCAGGACAACATGGTGGCAGGGTGTGGGGAGAGCAAAGCTGCTCACCTCATGGCAGCCAGGAAGCTGAAAGAGGGAGAGAGAGAGAGTGAGAGAGAGAAGGAGGGGGTCAGAGACAAGATAAAACCCTTCAAGGACATGCCCTCAGTGACCTACTTCCTCCAACTAGGTCCTACCTCCCAGTCTCTAGGACCTTCCAGTAGTCCACTCAGCTGTCAATGGATTTATCCACTGATGATGTCAGAGCCCCCATGATCCAATCACTCCCCAGAAGTCCCACCTCTGAACACTGCTGTATTGGGCAGCAAGCCTTCAACACATGAGGCTTTGGCAGACATTCCAGATCAAAACATCCACCATAGGGCTGGGGATGTGGCTCAGTGGTAGAGCACTTGCCTGGCATGTGTGAGGCCTTGGGTTCAATTCTCAGCACCACATACAAATAAATAAATAAGATCCATCAATGACTAAAAATATATTTAAAAAAAATCCAGCATAGGAAGGTCCACAGGAGAACCTTCCATTGGTCAGTGCAATTCAATAAATGTTCCTCTGTGAGCCATGCTTGGGATCAAATGCATTCCTAGAAAGTATAATTCATAATGGTTGAAATAAACTTTGTTTTCCTACGATAGCCTGCATAGTACATTGATCGTAATACACATTCCCTTCTGTTTGTGTGAATAAGTGGATTTAGATTAAATGTAACAACAATGCATTAAATACCAATGCCAGTGGAATAAGCCCATTGCAGACAACCTGAGATTTTATTTTTAAGGTGGAACTGAAAGATCCTTGATCCTATTTTATTTTTGAGAAATTGAGCCACATTATTCTTTTTCCATTTTTATCCCCATTTTTATTTCACAAGCTTGAGTAGCCACAACAGTTAATTCAAATAGGCTGTACTACAACCCAGGTAGCTAATGAAATGTGACCACACCACAATCAAATGTTGATGAGCAGTCAAGATGCACAGTTCACTGGGGCAGCTCGAAGCTGCTGCACTAATCAACTGTCACGTCCACATTCCCCACGTGTTTCCTCTCCCTGCCTGATTTGGACACTATTAAAGTTGAAAAATACTGGTGGAACAGTATCACCCTAACAAGGTAGGAGAAGAATAACTATGGGAGACCAACCTTGCACGTGACTGAGTCACACTCCCTGGCTGGGTGCTGAGGCACTCAGTCACAGAAATGTGGCAGAGCTTTCCCCACCCTTCTTGGGTTTAAGGAACGGTGTCTTGTGCATGGATGTGTCTTGCTACAGCCCCATGGGTGAAGCTATGCTCACCTGTTCCTTTGTAATATAACCCCTTGCCCTGTTTAGGATAGAATCTTCCATGGAAGTGCCTTGTGTGTGTCCTCTTCTCTTACTGTGCCCTTGGGTTGGCCTACTCAGGTGTCAGTCAACCTGCTGACAGTGGACATCATGAAGATAGACTCAGCCCCTTGAAACCTGACCCCTTGCCTCATTTGAATAGCTTCTCCTCAATAAAAGGGGTCAGCGCGTGCTCTCCCTCTCTCTCTTTCTTCGGACCCTTAAGGTCAGAGGAGCCGTCACAGCGACCCCCAAAGAAAAAGGTATTTGTGTCTCTTGTGTGGTTATTTAGTGCAGCCCAGTTAGCCCAGTTGAACTGGAGTGACCCCTGAGCCTTTTAGTCTCGAGAACAGAAACCTGGCAAATAACTACGGGGTACCCTTAGCATCTAGTATTTTGAAATGATATTATTGGGGAAATCAATTGTGTAGTAATCTAAAAGTCAAGATCAGTACAATGTTTTATGTTTTATAAATGAAATATCTCAGCAACATACTGTAACGACAGGGAAAAATGTCTTAAAAAGGAAAGAAAGAAGTTCAACATAGAAACTATGGTTTTAGCTGGGTGTGGTGGCACACACCTATAATTTCAGTGGCTCAGAAGATTGAGACAGGAGGATTGAAAGTTTGAGGCCAGCCTGGGTGACTTAGTGAAACCCTGTTTCAAAATAAAAAAAATTAAAAGGGGTGTAGCTCAGTGATAAAGGGCACTTGAGTTCCATCCCTAGGACCAAAACAAAACAAAACTATGTGTTGAGAAGATTACTATGAGAAAATATTTAAATAATAGAAAATTATGTTTCATATAATTGGAGCAGAGGGAGGTAGATCCAGAGGCTGTTGATTAAGCAGCCCAATAAAGTCTTCAAAAACTCAATTCTTGACCAGGTGCGGTGGTGCACACCTATAATCCCAGCAGCTTGGGAGGCTGAGACAGAATTGCGAGTTCAAAGCCAGCCTCAGCAATGGTGTGGCCCTAAGCAACTCTGTGAGACCCTGTCTTTAAATAAAAATATAAAAATAAAATAGGGCTGGGAATGTGGTTCAGTGACTGAGTGCCCCTAAGTTCAATCCCTGGTATCCCCTCAAAAAACCCTTCAAATTCTTAAATCAGAACCCAGATTCTTTTTTAAAAAA